TAACTTAATAATTAAATTATAAAATCATGTAAAACGTTATTAAGAAAATTTATTTTACATATTTTAAAATAAAAAATATTTACATTTAAAAAAATATATATATTTTATATATATTTAAAAAAAATATACATTTTTTTAAAGATAATTTGGCTTATTAATTAATAAATTAAAATCATTTTATAAAAATGTGAGATTAGATAAATTATAAATAGCATGCAAATTTCGATGGGTAAACCCAATTTAATATTGTGCAAGTAGCAAATATCCGCTGTCAGCTAGTGGAACTTGTATGGCTTTTGTGTTCCAAAGCCTGACATTGATATAATTTTAAATCCAAAACCCCTAACACCCCAATTTTATCATGAAATTGTCAACAAAGGTATAATTGATAAAAATAATGAGCCTAATCATTAATACTATTTAAGAAATTTAGCGAAATGACAAAAAAACCAAACTTACCATCTTAACAATTTCATTAAGGGAATCGACTAAATGTGATGTGTACAGACAGGGTCGCTTTCAAACCACCACCATTCAGCGAGTATGGGCTAAATTTCACTGATTTGTTTGTAAACAAATCAAGAATAAACATATGTTCTTCTAACAATGCAATCATGTGTAAATATTTTTAAGAGACCACATTATAATGTAAAGAAACTCAAACTGTCAGCTTCTGGAGCACTGTCAGCTACTGGTGCATCACCTTATTAAAACTATGTCCGTGCACTAATGAAACTGTTCTCATACCTAGTGAAATTGCATTTTGAGTTTAATGAAATTATTATGATAAATATTGACTGCTTCACAGATTAAACTCATTGTAACTGGCATATTAAAAGAAAACGCATTAACCCTCGTCACTTTTGCATCACTGAGCAGACCCTTTGGTAATTTATGGCTTCGGCGCTCGGGATACTCTTTTGACTTCGGCGCTCGGGAGACTCGGCGCTCGGGAGACGCAACGGTTGAAGTTTACTTTAAGTGAGCGTTTTAAAAGAATATTCACAAAGACCATTAACTTTGAAACATTAGGCTGATTTGAGAGTTGGACCGTAGCATGATACGAAATACGGAAATATGAAAGTAGATGTTGAAATAACACATTATTTATTGTAGACTATTAGATGGCTCAATATAATATTCTTACACTATTTTGAAAATATGAATAGATCATTTGATTAGTATTACTTCAATACAATCTGCATTGGTGTGATCAATATTTTAAAATCAATCATGTCGTCAACAAGATAGCTGAACACTAGCCTACCTACTTGTGTAGCTTTTAGGCCGGTTTTATGCAACTACATTTATTGCGGCTGACCGATCGGTCACGCGACAGTGACACATTTTTGTCGCGTAAACCCACATCCCACTATTATAGTGCGCTTGACTGGTTCCCCCCTGGTTCTGCCTCACTCTGGATTGAAGTTTACTTTAAGTAAACTACATTGTTTAAACTTCCTAGACACATATATATGAGACACTTAATTGCTTACTCTCGTTAGTACCTACTTCAAAATATTTCTGTAGTGTAACAATGTGCTCTAGATAACATATTTCTATACAAACAGGCAAATAAGCTTTTGATAGTGCTGTCTTCTTGTACATCAGAGTCGTCGTATACCAATGTATTTTTACCAATTTTTACGCACGTAGGAAGTGAATGTGTTAAGTGTTTAAAAAAAATTCTGTCCCAGGCCACTACCATAAATAATATATAATTTATGTGTGAAGGTACAAAATGCAGTTTAAAGAAAATGACAGATTTCATATTAGACCAGGAATTTTCTCACTGAAATTCAATTTGGTAATCTTAATAATGGCAGTTGAGTGACACACCAAATTTTAAGTATATGGTTTATGGGGTGTGACTTGTAGTTTTCTCAAAAGTTCATGGGTACTTTGAGATTTATATATGGATTTCAGCCAAACTTAGCAAAATGTAAACAAAAGATTATTAACAAACTATCTACAATATCTAGCAAATTAAATATCACATCAAACGTTGAACGACTAGAGTTAATCCAAACTAAGGCCTATACCAAATTAAAAGAACTTAGATTTTTAGCGAATTTCCCTAAAGAGAAGTAGCTATGACTAGGTGGCACGGTAAGACTTAAGCCCGGGACCGATTTACTTTTTCATTTTGATGTCCCCAGAGGCCAAAAACACAATTCGTTAAAATTTTTATGTATGTATATATATATATCCGTTAACGCAATAACTTGAGTAACGTGAGTAATCTTTATCAGTTTTTGATGAAATTTGGTTTAAAGGTTTAAGGCGGGATAAACTTGAATGAGTTTGCGAACGTTCACGATCGGACCATGGAAACTGGGTTTTACGGGGGGTTTTATGGGGTAAAAAATAGTTTTTCTCATTTTTGACCCTCAAAACACAAAATTTCCCAATTTCTCTCTAGACCTATTTAAAGAGCTAAAAAAACAAATAATTTTTTATATCAAAGTGTTTTTGTACGGTTGTTGGTAACGGAGAAAATTTAAAAAATTTAAAATTTAAAATTCCCATGTTATTCTTATGGAGAATATTGTAAAATGTTATAGTTTGCTTATTTGTGGATATATTCTGATTAAACTTGGCAAATTTATTTATTTTATACTAAGCTATTAATACTTTACTAAAACACTCACTTTATTAGTTTCATTGTAGCAGCAAACCTAGGTACTTGTTAAACCTAATGTTATTTAAATAGATTTAATTGAAAATCAATTCAGACTTATGTAAATTCGCTTAGTCGGCATGTTTGCTGTGGCGGGGGTATATTTTACTTTATATTAATAGTTATAATATTTTACTACTGTATGAGAATAATAAATAAATCAAACTACGGTAGTTAAATTTGTACCTTATTAATGTTCGTTACCTACTAATAAAGCCAACTCACATTTAACAAATGAAACTGACCATCGGTGCAATCGGGTGATCGAAAAAAAGGGCAGAAAGGACTGTCGGCGCAATCGTATAGTGTGGGGTGGGTCTAATCCCTGACCATCGGGGCAGTCGGGCTACTCCCGTCCAGGCAGAGACGTGGTGCGGAGCGAGGATATTAATTCAGAGGGAGATGAGCTATGACAGAAGACAAAGGAATATTAGTCCGGATAGGAAAGTGAGGTTCAGTGACCCTAGGCGAGACAGGAGATGTTATACATGTGGGGCTCTCGGCTATTTTGCTCAGGAAAGGAATTTTCCAAAATACTTGAATGGCCGGGAGGGGACATTCAACCCTCCCAGGTAAATTTTGATAAACAAATTAAGAAATGTCCGTAAATGTTAGTAACAGCAATACTCCATCAAAATTTGAACAGAAGAGCTTACAACGTAAATGTATATGGACATGCTAAGGTGGGTGGTCAGTAACACTAGTTGTTTTGACGAGTTAAGAAGGTCGTAGCAGTCGCTCGTCATGTGCCCTTTGTGTCAAAGTGACTGATAAAGAAATATACTAGTTGTAATCTTGAGTGTCATGTGAGTAGTGATTGGTTAATTTAATGTACTTAACTGTTACTTACGTTTTTAGTGTAATTCCGATATGTAATTTCGTATTTTTAGGGTTTTCCAAATTATCTAGAATACTATCAACTTATTGTATACTATACTAAATTAGGAAATTAAAGAGGATTAAATTTCCTACAAGAAAAATACATAATGTAACTATTTCGGTTGAACCATTTAAAAAGATATAATAATTATCTTATTCAAATACTCCTTCCATAAGAAATACATGTAAATTTGTATTTAAAATAAATGCTAAACATGGCAAACCTATCCACCTAAGGTCAATATAACCGATATTCTTGAAATCTTTGACAAAATTTCCAGCAGTTTGACACTTTAATCATAAAAATTGTACCAAAATTAAGGCGAGGGTAGGCACACAAAAAAGTTGTAATTTAAGAAACTATTACAAATAATGTGGTTTTTGTTAGCTTGCCAACGCCTTAATTTTAGACCTTTATGATTCAAGTGTCCAATTGCTTGAAATTTTGTCAAGATTTAAAAATTACGCATTAAACCAAATTAAAATAATTAAATTAAATTACGTATGGACCGGTGTAGGCTCATTTGTAATGAAATAAAAATTAGTGGATTTTTTGTTAAAAGCGAAAAATAAGTTTTAGTGCGTAGTTTTTAAAGCCTTGACGTAATTTCCAGCAATTGGACACTTTAATCATAAAAATTGGTCTAAAATTAAGGCGTTTGCAAGCTAACAAAAACCGCATTATTTGTAATAGTTTCTTAAATTACAACTTTTTGAGTGCCTACTCTCACCTTAATTCTGGAAAAATGTTTATGATTAAAATTTCAAGCTGCTGGAAATTTTGTAAAGATTTCAATAATATCGTTTATATTGACCTTAGGTGGATAGGCTTTCGCATTTATTTTAAATACAAATTTACATGTATTTCTTACGGAAGGAGTATTTGAATAAGATATTTATTATAGGTATCTTATAAATGGTTGAACCCAAATGGTTACATTATATTATACTTTTCTTGTAGGAAATGTAATCTTCTTTAATTTCCTAATTTAGTATCCGTAAACAAAAAGTTGATAGTTTTCGAGATAATTTGGAAAAACCTAAAAATGGTATCTAACAGTGGCCATTTTGGACGCCATCTTGGATTGAAAAAAATGACACCCAAATTTTTTTGAGGTTATTCAGTTTTTGCCTTAAAAAAACACGAATCCTTATTTTATTACAAATGAGCCTGCACTATTTATTCAATACAGCAGTAGATTTTTATCGAAATATATTAGCATGAAGCAGACCTAACAATAATAAAATGCAACATTTTATTATACATGACCTGCAACACAAACCAATGAAAATATTTACCAAACCTTTTAATAATCATATTGTTTTTAGGCCTATTGTTATAAACTAATACACTTTGTTATCTCATTTTGATGAGTGCTTGCTAACTTGACAAGTTACACCTTGCTTCTTTATTAAAACTTTATTTTACAAAACTTTGCAGAATGTCTTACTTCAGAACTTCAGTAAACCTTGTACAGATACGACATGGTTTGCATTTCTCGGCAAAACATTTTAAACAACCTGAAGTCAAACTCACAAAGGATGTGTACAAGGTCAAACGTGGAAACTATTCCGTTCTTGATGATTCCCACATTAAAAAGTTTGAAAACATATTAAGTGAAGATAGAGTATTGACGGATGCTGAAGAACTGGATTCCTACAATACTGACTGGATTAAAATGGTCCGAGGTACGTGCTATATTTTTTATAACTTTTTACTAACTGTCTATCATAGTTAGCCTGTTGGGCAATTATTCCGTATATGAGAATATTCTTGTGTCTTGAGTATTTTTAAGTCGGTTTGGTAGTAGGTTGTATAATTTTTTTCCCTCTATATGTTGGGGTTCTTGCAGTTCTTTCTAGTCTATGCTGTGGTAAATTTAGGTAATTTTTCCTTCTGATATTGTAGTTATGGGTTTCAGTTCGTTTGATAGGATCCAATTTTATTGCTTGGGTTATTACTTCAACTAGGTACAAAGATGTTAATGTGAGATTTTTTTTAAAGAATGGTTTGCAACGTTCTTGATAGTGGAGATTATTAAGAGTTCTTATTGCTTCTTTCTGTAGTACAAAAATTGATTGGAAAAGGTATGTATTTGCTGCGCCCCAGGCAACAATTCCAAAACGGAGGTGCGATTCGACAAGTGCATGGTAGGCAATTTTTGTTGTATCAATGTCTGTCAGATTTGTTATTCTTCTCATAGCATAAATTGATGTGGATAGTTTTTGTCTAATGAAATCAATATGGTGTTCCCATTTTAAATTCTCATCTATTTGGATTCCCAGAAATTTAGTATGATCTGATTTGTTTGGGTTTGATTTATCTTTTTGATCTTTGTTTGAGTTTGACTTGCAGTTTATTCCTTTTAGAAGGTTTTCCGGAAAATTGTTCATGTATATGATAAAGAGGAGGGATTCGAGGATGCTTCCTTGGGGGATTCCTTGCTTCATATCTTGAAATTTTAATTTGGTTTTTAGTTCAATATTGTTTTTTATGTAGCCTATTCCAACTTGTTGTTTTCTGTTTGTGAGGTCTCTTTTGATCCATTTTTTGTGCATCATATTTTATATTGAGTGCATTTAATTAGTTTATGACGGTTTTCCAATTTAGATTGTTGAACGCTTTTTTTATGTCCAGGTAGATTCCTATGACATTGTTATTTTCTTCCCAGTTTTTATAAAATCGAAAAATAAAAAAAATGCTCTAGTAATAGATTTTTGTGGTCGAAATTCGTGTGGTTTTTCTGTTAGAAGGTTATGTTCATTTAAATGGTTTTAATATGTTGTTTAATTAAGTTTTGTTAATAGTTTTGAATTTTGATAAAATTTCTAGTGAAGATTCTTGAGGTGAAGAGATACTTGAGAATTTTGCATTTCTTCTTGTTCTTGCGATATTTCCTAAATGTAGGGGTTTTCAGCAGATCTTCCAATAGAGATAAAGTATTCGTTAAAATGTTCACTTATTTCTTCTGGGGATGAGATGATTTTGATTCCCTCCTTAAGCAAAACATTTTCTCTGTTGTATGGTTTTTAGCTAATTTCCCTATAGAGAAGTAGCTGTTACCGTAGGTGGCACGGTAAGACCTGGAGCCGGGACCGATATACTTTTTCAATTTTGATATCCCTAGAGGCCAAAATAACTATTCGTTCAAATTGTTATCTGTATATACAGTGTGAGTTTTAAATGAGTCACCCCCCTACTTTTTTACATTTCTTAAGATATCAACTCCGGACCACGTCAGATCATAGTAGAGTAGTTAAAACTTCATTTTGACTGGGTATATACAGTTTTTTTTTCAATCGTAAAGGTAGGGTTGTGACCCATCATTTCAGACTAGAATTTTACGCTGATTTAAATGCCGCAATCCGTTTTTCAAAATATTGGTCCGTTGAAAAGTTATAATGAATTTTCAAAAATTAATTTTTGAACCAGTTTTTTATAGTCTAATGTTAAAATATGACCCTAGTCTCAACAATTTGCTAGAAAAAACAGAAATCGACCAATCAATTTCGGGTCATATTTTCTTCTTTTTGACGAATTGGACATTTTCAGCCGCCATCTTGGATCCGCCATATTGGATAAAATTATTTTCAAATGTAAAGGTGGGGTTGTGACCCATCGTTTCAAACTAGATTTTTACGCTGAATTGATGCTGAAATCCGTTATTCAAAGTCTTAATCCGTTAAAAAGTTATTAGGAATTTTCGAAAATAATTTTTGTATACATTTTTAAGTGCCGCAATGTTAAAATTTTCCCCTAATCTCCTAAAGTAAGAAAATGTATATCTGTTCATAATTACATTGAGCGATTGCACCGGAAAATATACATATTTTTTTTATTCGTACAACGAAATTATTATTATTATTATTATTAAGATCCAAGATGGCGGCCGAAAATTAATTCGTAAAAAGAAGTCAATTTGACCTTACAATAATCAGAGTCTTAACTCTTAGTCTTCGTTTTCATCTAGCAAATTTAGGAGATTAGGGAAAATTTTAACATTGCGTCATTAAAAAATCTGTACAAAAATTATTTTCGAAAATTCCTAATAACTTTTTAACGGATTAAGATTTTGAAAAACAAATTGCAGTATCGTATTCAGCGTGTCCGTGAACGCGATAACTTGATTAATTTTTGTCCGATTTTGATGAAATTTGGTTTGAAGGTGTAAGGCGGGATATGAATGAGTTCGCGAACCAGCATGATGACTTTGGGAAGTGGGTTTTACGGCGGTTTTTATGGGGTATAATTGTTTTTTTTTTGTTTTTTTTACCCTCAAAGCACAAAATTCCCCCATTTCTCCCTAAACCATTTTAAAGAGCTTAAAAAAAACAAATAATTTAGTATACCAAAGAATTTTTGTACGGTTATTAGTTACGGAGAAAATTCAAAAAAATTCAAATTCCCATGTTATTCTTATGCAGAATATAGTAAAATGTAGTTTGTTTGTTTATGGAAATATTTTGATCAAACTTGGTAAACTTATTTGTTTTATACTAAGCTACTAATATTTTACAAAAAAACACACTTTATTAGTTTCCTTGTAGCAGCAAACCTAGGTACTCGTTAAACATAATGTTATTTAAATAGATTTTATTGAAAATAGATTCAGACAAAAATGGAAATTCGCTTTGTCGGCAGGTTTGCTGCGGCGGGGTATTTATTTATACGTATCTTTATTTTTGTTTTTCGATTCCTCAATTTTATATGAAATTTTGGACTTTTTCTTTAACTTTATTTCGGAGTCGTATTTCTTTTTTGTTTCTGTATACATAATTTTATCCTCAGGCCTATTTGTTGTTAGGTAATAAGGAAAATCAAAACACACACGAAATATAACTGTTTATCAACTCCTTAGTTCTAAGTTAATTGGTGACTCATCAGTGGTATATAGTTCAACTGCCAGTTGGTCTGCTTACGCTAAATATCTTGGTCAATATTACGTATATAATGTATATAACACTATATAACGTATATTCAACTTGCGTTGTAACTTAAATGATTTTATTTTTGTTTTGCGATTGGTTACTCCGCAGCGTCGATAATTAATCCACCCGTTCAACCATTACTACATTAACAATGTCCCATATTTTTCAGGTTATAGCGGTGTAGTCTTGAGACCGAAGAGTACAGAAGAAGTGTCGGCTATTCTAAGAGTCTGCAATGAGAACAATCTAGCGGTGTGCCCTCAGGGCGGAAACACAGGGCTGGTGGGTGGTAGTGTTCCTGTTTTTGATGAAGTCATTATCTCAACGTCGTTAATGAATAAAATCATCAAAATAAATGATATACCAGGTGAGTTATCTGACTAGGCTAGACGGACCAAAGATCCCAGGGTTAAAATTGACCTGAGAATTAATTGTTTACCTGTTTTGGCGAGGCTTGACCGAAGATCCCAGCACAATGCGGGGTCGAGCGGGGATCTTCAGTCAAGCCTCGCTCTTGGGATCTTCATCGAGTTTAATGAGGGTTGAAATATTAACTAATAGTTGGGGGCCATGGAAAGGCCAGCAGTCAGTTTATATTTTATATGACTTGGAGTAATATGCCAACAATTACATACAAAAATATGTTACTTTGACAGATCCCTGATTGATTATGAACAGGTTATGAATTTTTTGTTTTATAAGTCTTAGCTTGGTATTATTAGAAGCGACAAATCTGAAAGAAATCCCCGTAGCCCTTTTCGCGATGATTTTGCAACCAACCAATCACGCAAACATTGATCATAAAAGAGTAGAGGATTATAGTAGGGGCAATATAGCAAAGATGCCTCACTTTCGGCACGTTTTTCCCATGTTATTCTTATGGGGAGCTTTTTTGGCCAGTTTTTTAAAGACTCTGCTCTCGGCTTATACAAGCCCATACAAATGTTCAATACTATTGTACAAGTTTGATATTATTTCTATGTTATGATTTATATGAAGAGAAAGTGATTGTGAAGGGTAGCTACAAACAATCGCATTATAGTGAGCAATGAAAGATGCTATGATAATTTGTATTGTTTTGGGTAAGTGCAAACCTAGACGCGCGTTTCAGTGTATAATAGTGGTGGTAACGAGAAAGCCTTACTTTTGTTTAAAGACTTTTTAATAATATACTCCCTCTGCTTCTAATACTGTAGACATCCCTACGACCAATCAACTCCAAACCACCACAACTACCAATCACTGGCAATCAATCTTAAAATTAATATGCAAATAGTTTTATTTAGCAAGGGCGAAGTATCGCATTAAGGTGTTGCATCAGGTGTTGAATTGGCGTAATACGAGTTGAGTTTATTCTGTAACCTAACCAATGGAATGGGCCTTGCGATTCATCATGTATTTGAGACGAGGTGATAATGCACGATTTGGTAAGAGTGGTATGTAGGTTGATTTTGTATTTAATAAAATTGTTGTAAAAATGTAAAAAGGTTTTCTTGGATATTGGAAGAAAATTAGATTTCATTAGAAACTCGTGAATGTTGTTTTCGTCGTTTGTTTGTTTGTAATTTATTGTTTTTTGTAATGTATTATTTTCTCTTGTGTTTTTTAAAGTCATTAGCTTAACGTTGTTTATTTTCTTTTCACAATGGTACAAGTATTTTTTCACTGTACATATTTATATTATTATAATGTAAATATTTATTTCACTCATATCTTGTTATACCTATAAAAATTGTCCATTTAAATTTTTAACAGTTTTATGAATCTTTGTTTTTCTCAATCAAGAATTATGTATACTTATCTTGTGGTTAATTATTTTTCCTGTCTTTAAAGATTTTATTAAAAATCTAAATACACATTCCACGATATAATCTAATATTATCCCCAGTTACTATTTCTATGACATAATTTTAAACTCTTAAGATGGATGTGAACATAAAATGTATTTGCATAAAAACTGTATAGTATATTAATAATATTAAATATTACGTTTACTGAATACGCGTTTGTTACGTTATAAATATTTTACAAGTATAACGAAAACCATAAGACTGATTTTTGTCGGAAAAACACATGTTGGGAAGAAAATTATATGTAATTTCAACAAAATATAGTGAAAAACAAATTGTGTTCAATTTCTTTCTGTTTTAATCTGGTGCGGTTATGCTTTTGCAGTTTTATAATGTTATACGCTATATAAATTTAATCATATTCTCCATGCTAAAAAATGACACATAGCCTGTTATTTTTTTGTCTGTTTAAAACAAACTTGTTCGATTAGATTAATAACTATGGTGTAAGACTAGCAGGAAAACAAAGTTTTAGTCTAAGATTTGCAATACAAATCATATATCACGGATGTGAGCTTGGAACTAATTATGAAGGAGGATATATAGACAAATATTCATAGCTAGTCTAAGCGATTCTTCGCCCCTGGCAGGTAGAGGCGGAGGCCCGAACCCATACCTGTTTTTCGAGGCTTGACTGAAGATCCCAGGACTAATGAGGGCTAGGGAGGGGATCCTGAGTCAAGCCTCGCCAAAATATTTTACGACCGACCCTTGATCAGGCTACCCTGGAATCTTCAGTCCTACAATCCTAATTCTAAGAATGTTTCAAAAATCACCTGTTAAACATTTATTTTACTTTCTCCCCTTATCTTCTATAAACTATAGAGTCCGATGTGTAACTCACTGACTCACTGACTGATCAGGTATACAAATATTTGGGCACTTCTAGACGGGCTAGGAAGTTGAAATTTGGTACGATGACGGGTCTCGGCCCCAAACCACCAGGGAAATTCCGAAAAGTGACATTTTCCCTTTTCAAATCTCCCAAAACAATTAAAAATGGCGGATTTTGAAAGATTTCGAATGTAAGGGTTTTTTTAAAACGTCCGTTGCGGCTCTCCATGTAAAACGGAGAGACCACATTGACGTTTATGTTAAACAAGCTTCAACTTTGTAATTACACATTTATTTCTATTTCCACCCCTTCACCCTTAGATATCACCAGATTTTTCCAATTTTGGGATTTTTATCTCAAATTTCTTTTTTTAAACTTCTGTTGTTGCTCAACCGAAGGTCCGATCGAAAAACGGAGAGCACTTACAGTCACAACTTTTTCCCGATTTACAACTTTGTGATTTAACATTTTTTCCCATCTCCAACCCTTCTTCAAATTCAGGCTTGAACTTGAAATGTTACCTTATTTTTCCTGTTTTTGGTGACTTTGGCTGCCCCGGAGTAGGGTAAAAAACAATTTGGGCAGTTTTGACTTTATAGTTCTCTTAACATATGTTAACATAGTTACTTCTTAGCCTAATTGGGGATGCTCACCTACCCTGCGTAACCCTGAAATAGGGGGGATGATTTTGGTAAAAATAGAAAATCCCGATTTTAAAGATTACCTTCAATTTAAAAGTACACAAATGTAAAATTATATGAATTTAAAGTAATGTTTCGTGTACTACTTTTTATAGTGTACATTTTAATCCATTAGGACTTTCACCTATTTTCACTCCAACCCCCTCAAAAAACCCCATTTTGATAGTTATGTCCTTGGACTTTGAGGATATGCCCACTTATCCACTTATATTAGAGCTAAAATTTTGAAATTTGGTAGGGGTGTTGGTTTTCGGCCCAAAAAACCTTCAAGATTTTCAAAAGTTCAATTTCCCTAATTTTACCCCCTTCCATGGATAAAAAATATCCCCCATGTTAATCTTATGGAAAATATTCGAGTGGAGAATAAAATGCGGTTTCAAGTATATTAAGGTAACCATTAAGTAAGTTAGTCATGGTCGTAAATCATAAGAAAATGTTTAATATTTAGAGAGCAATCTCATCTTAAGCCCCCCCCCTATAGTTATCCCCCTTAAGAAAGTTAATGTTCAACTGTTTCTGGACGTTCTAGATATTTTGAATTTTTTAGGTTTGATGGTCTAAAACATTAATTTTTTGAATTACAACCATTTTGAAAATCCCCATTTATGATAGTCCCTAATATTTTAACCCCCTCCCCCTCTTGCTGAAACGGGACAATTGGCAATAATAATACAGTTTCCAATAAATGTACTTTTAACTTTTCATGTTTTGAACGCAACAGCGTGATCGGCCTCCAAAAGGGGCGCCTTAATGATACCGATGATGTAAACCCCCTCCTCCCAACCACCAAAGGGGGCCTAAGATTATTTAAAATAGTTTACCTCCCTCTAACTCCTAAGATTATAACTTTATATCTATGCTTATTGAGCTAAAGACAGTTTTAGAGATTATGACTTAACAAATTTAATCCATTACAGCACCGGCCTCACATCGAGACTTTAACATGTCAAGATTTGTTTGGTTTGCACCACAAACAAGCCCTCTATGAAATACTTTGCAACTGCATTTATGATTATTTACTACAATCTTTTTGTTACTTCATATACCGCTTTACTTTGATCAACATTACTACAATCCTTCTTTGGATTAACATATTTAATTTGTACACATGGTTCCTTGGTTTTCTGGCCTCCCCGTGACGGAACTGGATATGCCATATAGTTTGTGGCTAACTGACAGGACAACTGACAGGAACAAAAATTAATCATGTTTCATTAATATGTACTAGTGGCTTGAAGGGACATAAGTCCCTGAAAAGCTCAAATGTAAAACAAACTATTGTAATACAGTATAAACAAACTTAAATAAATCGAATACATATATCAGATATATATTCCAGTACAACATATCTTTTGTTTAAAAAATAGTTTGTTGTTTGTCTTTGTTTGCTTTTGTTGATGTTATTTTTAATAAATAATTTAAATTACTCCAAAGGTTTAACTCTGCTAAAGGCAGCAAACATGTTTGTGAATAAATATTAGTATACTAAGGCAGCTTTGGTCTTTTGATAATAAAAAAGGCTTTCCTGATTAAAATATTGGAAATTGTCTTCGTCATATATGAAAAGGCAAATAAAGGTGTGTTGAGATAAGCTTAGTTCTTAGTTTAAACCGCTAAATTAGCACCCCGACCCAGTTATTATTTCTAAGTGCATGCTCCTTTTGTAAACACTACAATAAATCTCAAATTAAAAATGTTAGTAAGTATACAAAAAAGTATAGAATAAATCTTTAACAAATGTTTTGAAATCAAAACAAAGCAGAAGTTTTCAACAATCTTGAATCGATTATTATTTAGTCAATGTAGTTATATCATGTTAAACATTCCTTCAACACAAAAATAACCGTTAAGTTAGAAGAAAAAAAAACTTCATAATTTTTTTCAGCAATTCTAAGTTTAATTCCTTTGATTTGAGCCATCTCCTATGATTCTACTACTTATCATACGCTTAACAAATTTACTTAAAAATACACAAGTTTTC